TCTCTCTCTCTCTCTCTCTCTCTCTCTCTCTCTCTCTCTCTCTCTCTCTGAGCATGCATGGATGACGTTGTGAGAATGAGTTTTGGTTTGATGCGCGACTATCTTTGAACTCGTGAAGATTCGTCGTCATATCGACAACTTCCTTTCTCAAGGAAACCATCGTAGAGGTCATACTACGTTCGTGTGGCTTTGCTGAAGCGTTCGCGGCAGTCATGACGTCTAATCTAGCTCCTTCCTCTTCGATCGTCCACACGTATTATAATTGCGGCCAACCTGGCCACTTGTCTCGCTTCTGTCCGTTGTCGGACCGCCGTCTGGTCGGTACCTCTTCTGCTAACGTCAATAACAATAGCACGACAATAGTGCCGGCACAGGGTAACGCACTTGTTACATATCCAGCAGTGGGCGGGCAATTTGGTGGATATGGACATGGGTACGGTGGCGGCTTGAAACCCCATGTGGAAACGCTGAAGTCTACGGTCGCGGAGCTCAAGGCTCATCGAGATGCGGAGCTTGAGCGCGAGAAACATAAGAAGGAGGAAGAAGACAGAATAGAAAGAGAAAAGAAGGAAGAAGAAAGGAGACAAGAGGAGAAGAAAGAAAGAGAGGAGTTGCATACGAAGATTAACAATAATTTGGCGGAACAGCTGAAGGTTGTGCAAGAAATTTTGGAGAAGAACGTGGTCAAAGATGGTGAACAAGATGCGGTGACCAAGCTAAGACTGGAAATGGAGAAGTTACAGAAGGAGCAGACGAATTTTGGAACCTGCTCGATGTCAGAAAGTGAACTTGACAGATTCAGGAGGGATCAAGAGGAAGAGCGTGCATGTGCAGAACGACGGTTCGCGCTTATGGAAGAAGAAATCGCAACGCTCAAGAAGGTCAACGAGGAAGCATTGGAGTCCGTAGAAACATGGAAATCGGAAGCACTTAGGCCAGGGAACAAGAGGGGAAATATTGCTGTTACTCCAACCCCGATGGCAACCACAAGGCCGCATGCGCGTTTTGCATCAGGTTGCCCGGCGCCAAAGGATAAAACGAAAGAACAAGAATTGAAGACACAATGGGATGATTAGGCACACGAGATCGAGTTGTTGAAGGAATGGAGGTTTCGGGAGCTGAACGGGAGAAGAGAAGCAGAGCAGGAGGTGGAACGGCTGAAAGAAAAAATGGCGAAGATCTTATTGGAGAGGTGGCAAGAATCAACAAGACAATGAAGGGGGATGGTTTCCTTGTTGGGCGCTCGTACGATGTGAAAGAAATGTTTTCTAACTTCCCTCACCCATCTATTTTGTCAGCATTAAGTTGGGTAATTGATTATTGGAGGGAGAAGGAGATTGAGTCTGTGGCAGTCAAACGTAGAGGAAGAAGTGCAAAATTGCTGCGGGGGAAGATTGAAGAAGGATGGTTGTTTTTGAATTTTTCGTTATATTTGATTTTGTTTGTTTTGAGCTCGACAACACCTTTGTCTCTGCAGCAGGGGAAGTTTTGAAACAAAATGTAGGAATCCCAATGGGCAAGTCCTCAAGCCCCGCTTTGGCCTGCCTCCTCTATGCATACAATGAGTTTATGTTTTTGTCGTCACTCGGGGTGGATCGGTTGTTGGTCCACGGTTTTCGGTTTATGGACGATGTTTCTATTTTCGTGGCTGCTACGAAGGAGGCGGGTAACCGGGTTGACGAGGTGTTGGCTCGTTTTGAGCAGTGTTATGATAATAAGTTGGTCTTGGAGAGAACAAGTGATGGTGAAAGCTGGGATTACTTGGGATGTGTCTTGAAGATCTTCAACAACTCAGTGGGTTTGGCTTGCATGCCATGCCATAAAAACCAGCGTGGGTCCGTTAATGGACGGTTGGAGTTTCATAGCATTCAAGATTACTGCTCGTATTCGAGCAAACAGCAGAAGGTCGCTGTCGTCAGTTCCTTCCTGCACCGCGCTAGGCGTTTCACCACTGTCCCAACAACTGAGTTTCCCTTTTTGTTTTCTTTGAAGATGGAGCTTTGGCGACGATCCTACCCCGATGAGATTTTTGATAATGCCCTCCGGTACTTCTCCCGGAAATTCGGGGGGATCTGGGACAAATGGATACCCATTCTCACTGGTTGGAAAGGGGGTCTGACTGCTGGGTTGTGTCGGTCCCAGAGCATTCCCGGTTTATGAGTTGCTATTTGCCTATTTTCTTTTTCTCCCTTTTTGTTTTGTTTGTTTTCTTTTTCTTTTTCTCTTTCTTTTTCGGTTCTCGAACGCCTGGAGAGATTTGCCGTGTTTCGAACCCTCATCTGTCGGATATTTTTCGAGGTTACAGTACATGGAATATAGTCGAATCGCAGTTTGTGTTGCGTGGTTCGAACACGGGGCTGGAGGATGTTTTTTCGAGGCTGTAGTATGGTTCTGTGGTAGAGTCGTAATGAGGGGCATACCACTGTCAAAGGCTCTGACCGGTTTTGTAGAACAAAGGAGTGTCGTGAGGAAGTAAACTCTGGACTACTGTTTCTCTTTTTAGCTATAGTATAGTATAGGTTTC